CTCGGCAGGCCTGGCACCTTCCCGCCCCCACCCAGGCACCCTGGCTCCCCATGCCTGGCTCAGGTCAGAATGCAGCAACACAGGCCTGACTTCTGTTGTCGCTGTCCTGAGTCTGAGGAAAAATCACTTTGGGGGTGCTTCACACCAGCTCCCTTCTGCACACCTGCTGAGGTCATGGGGGCATCCCAGTTGCCAGGAACCCGCTGCCTGTCCTGCTCTTGATCTTCCCAGTTGCTTTTAGACACAAGTTTGGCCATCGGGGCAGGCCTGGGTGGCTTCTGTGGGCGGGTGCTGACAGAAGGGGCCGAAGACGGGGCTGAAGTCGGGGCTGGAGACGGGGCCGGGGGCCGGGCCGGGGAGGGGACCCGGACTGTTGCTGGGGCCGGGCCATGATGGGCCAGAGCTGGTATGTGCTGGCCTCTCCGCTGGCATTCTTCTGCAAGGGCGTTCTCGTCGGCCACACCTGAAAGCACAGCACACCAGGGAGAGCTGTGAGCTGCAACCCTCCCTTGAGAGCAGAAGGCTTCACCAGCCTTCTTTCCCAAAAGATGGCTCCATCTCGAGAGCCACCATACTGCCATGAACTCCACTGCACTGCTGGGCCTGAACATCATCTTCCCAGGGGGGACATAAAGCAATCCCAAAGAAACCAATTGTCTTGTCTGTGCTGCAACACCATTGTCTAGAGTCTGAGTATACAATCAAGGCACAAAGCCTGGCAGATACTGCTTAAAATGGTTCTTGCCAGCCCAATAATGCAGCCCTGCAAAAAGGCACCAGAGTCAGCCCAGGCACGTTCATAGGCCTGCACCAAGGGGGCATCACCTCTGCACAAGCAGGAAGTGGCTTAGGAGGACTGAGAAGCCTCAGGCACTCTGCACACCATGCTTGCAGGGTAGAGCCAGATCCCAGACAATCTCCCAGAGGGCTCCTGGCCAGGTCTGTAGCACAGCTTATTACACCCCCTCAACACTCGCCCATCATCACTCAGAAGGCTGTTATCTTTGGAGAAACAGAAGAGGGTTCTAAAGGTTTACACACTAGATGGATACTGAAAATAAAACAAGAAAGCAACAATTAAAGGACTGACTTCGATTCCCTGGAACTTTGAATAACAGTGCTGTTATAATTCGTACCAATCATAAAACTGGAGGCAATGGCTCTCCAAAACTGAGCTCCAAGGAGGGTGAACCTTTGCTCGCCTCCCGAGCAGCTGCCCTGCTACATCTCCCACAGTCTGCAAGAGACCTGCAGCAGCCCCCTTCCTATGGTGGAAAAGGGAACCAGACACAACCACCTACATGTAGCTTCTCCTTTCATCACTGGGAGGCACTTGCTCAAGGAAATGTGTGAAGTATTTAAGACCAGTTCTCATTTGGACACCTCCCATGAACCCAGGCTCTGCTGGAGCCAGGCCTGTGGAGAAGCCATTCCCGATGGGCAGAAACTCACCCATCTTCCTGTGGTAATATCTTGCTTGTGCAAGTAAAGCCTGTCTGAGAGTCAGAGAATGGAACTAACCATAGAGGTCTGTAGGTCTGTATAGACAGACAGGAAGTGAGGTAGCTAGGCACAAACAGGATATAAGCAGGGAGAAACAGGAAATTTCTCTTGTATGCTGAGGCACTAAGGAGGTAAGGCGTGCTGTAGCTCTCTGATCTGTCAGCATTTCCCTCTATATCTAACTCCAGCTTATTAAGAACTCCATTAAGAACTCCATTTAGAGTGTCAGGACAGGCTTCAAAGCTACACAGAGAAACCCTGTCTCCAAAAAAAAAAAAAAAAAAAAAAAAAAGAACTGCATCTACATCTTTCCACTGTGTGGAGACACTACACAGAATGGAACACATTTCTGAAAGATATTAAAGCTGGGGTCAAGTATTACACCTGGGACGACAGTCACAAGGTTCATTAAACCCCCAAATCCAAGTCAAGCGGTGGTGGAACACACCTTTAATCCCAGCACTCAGGAGGCAGAGACAGGTGGATCTCTCTGAGTTTGAGGCCAGCCTGGTCTACAGAGCGAGTCCCAAGACAGCCATGACTGTTACATAGAGAAACTGTCTCAAAAAACTGGGGTTGGGTTGAGATAACAGTCCAGGGCACTGAGCTTGCAAGCTTCAACAAGGCTATTTACAGGCATCCAGTGAACCAACAATGCACAAAGGTAAGCCAGCAGCAGCAGCCTGTCCAGAGTGCCAGTCTCGACCCCATTGTTTACACTCATCCTACATAATCTGGGGGGTGACCTAGAGCCTGCGGACCCTGCTGAGCCACACAGTTTCTGCATTGAGCTGAGGGCAAAATGTGACATGGGCAAACTTGCAAGTCCATAGACGTATCTGTAGACAAGAAACATGTCTGAATGAGACCAAAACCTGAGGAAGGAAAATTACCCCATGTTAAGACATCATGCTGAGGCACTGTTTTCAAAGACTATACTGAGGGAGAGGCACAAGTTGGGAAGCAACAGAGGCTAGCACCACCCCATGGGGTTTCTGAAACAACACCCAACCCATGAGGGTCAGCAAAGAGAATAATGTCCTAACTACTCAGCTGTATAGTGGCAGGCAAATAGTGACAGGGTTCAGAACCTGACTGACATAAATGATGGCATGTAAGAGGATACTGTGAAAGCTCACTGGTCCCTTGGCGTATTGCCAATTATCCCTGGGGTACCCCACAGCTGGCCAATCACCCAACTATGGAGAGACTGGGCACTCATCAGGCCAGACTATTCTCTTCTGAGCAGAGAACACCTGTGAAATCATTCCATGGACTGTTTAAAAAGCTAAATAAGCCAGGCGGTAGTGGTGCACACCATCAATCCCAGAACTGGGGAGGGAGGGAGATCTCAGTAAATAAATGACGAACAAGAGACAGGCATGGTTGTGCATACATATAATCCCAAAAGAGGAGGCTGAGGCAGAATGACAGCGCACTCCCTGGACTATCAGTCTAGACTACACAGTTCGAGGTATATATACCAACACCCTATAGCTAAAAAAGGGGGGAAGGTAGAAAAGAATGACAGGAAGAAGAAAAGGAGGGTGAGCATGTTGATTGCGTGTAACTCATGAAGGAAATCACTTTTTTCATGCGTGTGAAAACCCCCACAAACTTTTTGTGTATGTGTGTGTGTGGGGGGGGGGGGAATTATGCAGAGACTCAGGACAGCAGCCTCTTGCTCTTGTCACTTACCTCAGTACCAGGATGGTGTCCTCAGGTTCGCCCAGAGCCAGGTCTTCCCAGGCTCCCATCCAGCCACAAGGGGAGATAGGATGCTCCCCACATTCTCCTTTAGAAGCACCCTTCCCAACAGTCCTGCTGGATCTGCAGGCTCAACCCAGACACACCCAATGGGGTTCATCACCCAACAGAAATAACCAAACTTCCTCCAATTGACTTACAGGCAGTGGCCCTCAGTGGAGCAGTCTTACAAGCTCACCACCCCTGTTGGGCAAATTCCCCACACTCTGGCTTTCAGAGCTTGGCTAAGACATCTATAGCAGACACCCGTCAATGGGGAGGGTGGCACGCTTCCTTCTCCATGCAGGATCTCTGTACTTCAAACGCCTACCTTCCCTAGCCTGGGAATGCACACCATACCTGCTTTCAGAGCACTTTCGAAGAGCTCTGTGTTTACTCTTAAGAGTGAAACAACTCACCATGCAGAGAAAACTGGCTTTTTGCTGCCTCTGAAGTAGCTAAGGGCAAGATGGCTCCGAGGGTAAAGGCACTTTGCTGCCAAGCCTGATACCCTAAGCTTTACCCTAGGGCCCTCAAATTGTCCTCTGATCTGCACAGGCACACTTGTGCATGCTCTCTCTTCTCTCTCTCAAATAAATGTATAATTTTTAAATGTGTAATTTTAAGAACTGAGATTTTAAAAAGATGACTAACAGAAAGCTCAACAAAAATTCTACATGCTGTGCCTCAGAGTCCTTCCAGAATGTAGCCTCGTTCTCATGACAGGCACATGGCAAACCAGTATTCAGGCACATGTGGTTTCTCTGTCTATGCTTGAGGGCCCAGTGGTGGAAGGCCAATACTCAGTGGCCTATGGGAGCCACCCACAACCCCTTTCATGGGTACCACCTTCCTGCTCAGAGTGTCCTCCAGCTCTCAGGACTTTCTTGAAAATGCCCACTAGGAAATTCCCTGGCCCAACACTGGAGAGCATGGGACTGTGGGGCACAGGTTGCCACAAACTGAAGTACCTAGGATGGAAATAAAGGTGGGAAATAACTAGACACAGGCCATTTCTCTCCTCCAGAATTCTCACTGGGCACTTCTTAGGAGGGCTCACTTGTATTCATCCAAGCAAAGCCCTCCTTGCAGGTAGTGGCTGGTGGCCAGCACCCAAATCAATGACCTGGTTGCTGTGACAAGAGCCCTGAAGCTTTTTCACCTAGCAACTGCTGCCTCTAAGGCAGTGTGGACCAGAGCAGACACAGCGTGACCACTGGTGTCTGAGACATTTCCAGGCCTGACTCCTATGTGAAAAAAGCTGGGCTGGGCTGCTGACCCCAGCACACAGTATGGGCCCAGCCCCAATACAGATGGTCCTGCAGACAGGCTGCTTTGTGCTTGCAAGTTTCAAGAGCAGAATCCCAACAACAAAAGCATTAACAGTACACCAATTTTTCTCAAGTACCATGCTGTGACCTTCACACTCTGCACCATGATGTCTTCCTGCCTTGCTTCAGAACCTCCTCTTGAACCTTCTGTTTTCTGTTTTCATAGCTGCCTATAAGCAGAAGTATTGGGCAAGTGCTCTATGGGCCCAGAAGCATGGCCAGTCTGACAACAGCCCATGGAAACTAAGCTGCTTTTCCCATGGGATGCTGTATTACAGTTCTGATGACTTTTCTGTCCTGTTATAGTGGGAACCCACAAAGGTGCAGAAAACCATTACACCACCACCTTCAAAATGATGGCAAGCACGTGGGCTCAAACACCATTCATCCTTATCCCTTAATGTGAAGATGCCTTACAAGCTTTGAGAACTTGGCAGCTGAGGGAGGACCATGCCTGCCATCCTGGCACATCACTCCCAATTTACCTGGTTGATTATTTTCCAACCACAGCCTTCACAGCAGATTGTAGCAGAACTGGACAGGCACCAGACAGACAGACAGACAGACAGACAGACACGCCCACCAAGCACTGCTGCCTTATCACAGAGTAGCCAGGGAGACATCACAGAAGCCAGAAGTAAGGCTTTGTCCTGAACAGCACCTATCACAGAAAGGACTTCATTGCCTGTCCTATTTAGCACCCTCACAAGCACCTGCAAAGAGAGAGAATGGTCCCCTGCAGAGGCAGGGACAGTGAGTGGATGTGTGCCCTAGCCATGCTGTTATGTTAGTGAGCTTCCGTCTGAAAGTAAAATCACGTGTGTGTGGCACTGCTACCACCAGCCTGTCACCCACCCCCATTTATCCCTGGACACCCAATCAG